TTAGCAAATGCAGAAAGAAGGGGTGAAACTAGATACTTTTCTTCTTAACAACATGCTCAACTTGTATGGTCGTCTTGGTCAATTTTCAAAAATGGAAGAACTCTTAACTGTCATCGAAGTTGGACCTTATGTAGCCGATATCAGCACCTACAATATCCTGATCAATGCATATGGACGATCAGGATTTATCAAAAAAATGGAAGAGATTTTTCAATCACTTCCTGCAAAGAACTTGAAGCCAGATGTGGTTACTTGGACTTCCAGACTTGAAGCATACTCTAAAAAGAAACAGTACCAAAGATGCTTAGAAATATTAGAGGAAATGATCGATGAAGGTTGCTATCCATATGGTGGAACAACAAAAGTGCTCCTTTCGTCTTGTTGGAGTGAAGATCATATTGAACAAGTTACAAATGTAATTAGATCAATGCACAAGAATGTGAAGACAGTACAATTGGTTTGAAATAGCTCATTTAATTTCCAGCAATATGTACCGCCCAACACTGTGTCGAATTATGTTAAGTTTCAATTAACTGAAACTAAACTGATAACCGCCCGATAATAGTTAAATCGATATCAATCCGCCCGATATCTTATCGGGTGGCTAGCGAATTAATACATTTAAAACCCGATAACCGATAAGCCAAACTGTTAAGAGTAAATAACCGCTGGATCCGCCCGTTAATCAGCCCTATTGTCAGCCATAAAGATGTCATGATACGTTTATAAGTTTAAAAATATTTTGGTATGTTCCTACATTTTAGTTGAAGTTTCTCTTCATCAAAAAATATTTTGGTATGTGATATTTTTCTCCCTTTAAAATCGTGCATCATTAAAAACTGTCACAAAAGTTAAACCAAGAAAGAATTATTTTAACCATTATTTAATTATATATATACGCAAACTGAAAGCAACATGTATATACCAGCACACGCTGCCTTATAGGCCCATCCAAATTTTGGCTGTCACGTTTTCAGAGTTTGGTAATAGGCTACTACTAGGCGTACAAACAAAATCGATGAACCGCACTAAATCGATAATCCGAGTCAAACTGAAAAAAAATATTCGATGTGGTTTGGTTTGGTATTGGAAAATAAAACCCGACCATTATTGATTTGGTTTGGTTTTAACTAAAAAAGAGTCAAACCGAAACCAAACCAATCCAATAGTACATTTATATAATTTTTAAAAATATTTTATACATATAAATATTTATTGTAATGTAATTTATAAATATTTTTTAAACTTTTTCACAGTTTTATCTTTTAACGTATTATTTCAAGTTTAGACTTAGCATTCTTGAATAGTAAATAAATTTTAAAGCTCATAAATGTAGTAACTCAAACAAAGTTCAAATCAATACTAATGCTAACAAAAGAAATTCAATTCAATACTAGGAATGACGATAGTGTTGAATAATTATTTTAGTTTTACATTGGTTTATAATGAAAATGCATAACTTAGTTTATCTTTTTCTTTAGTACTTAGTTATGTAATTAATATTAGTACTTATTAGCTAAACTTATTGAAGCATGACCTACATAGTATTTTTAGATTATGTTAATTTTTATTATGGCTTATTAATTAGTAATATTTATGTAATTTTATTATTCTATCTTTATTATTGAATATTTTAGTATAATGCTATGACTTATCTCATATTATTGTGTTAGTTTCTTGGAAAATACATTATATAATTGTATTTTACTAGGACTTAAGAAATATTTGGAGCACAAGTTACATATTTTATATGCTATGAAGACTTTACCGGAAAAAAATCTGAAAACCCGAATAAACCCAAAAACCCAAGAAAAACGAGATTGAAAAATCTGACTTTGTTGGTTTGGTTTGGTTTGGTTTGGTTTATAAATTTAAAAATCCGACACCATTAATTTAATTTGATAATTGAAAAATCTGAACCAAACTTACCTGATTGTACCCCTAACCGCAACCTATGCACTAAAGTCAAATTTGAGGTTCTTTTTTATGTACTTTTCTTGATTTTGTCATAAGGTGTCACCTTTTCATACTCCACATTTATGGGGTTACCTTTTCGTACTCTTATTATGCCATGTCGAAGCCAATTGATCTAAATTTGAGGTTCTTTTTTATGTACTTTTATTGATTTTGTCATATGGTGTCACCTTTTCATACTCCACATTTACGGGGTTACCTTTTCGTACTCTTATTATGCCATATCGAAGCCAATTGATCTAAATTACAACGAAAAAAAAAGCCAAAAATATCCTTGAACTATTTGAAATAGTTCAAAAATATATTTTGTTTGTTTTTTGTACCAAAAATCTCTATGTCGTCTATGTTTTGGATTACAAATGCCCTTAAATCATTAGTCTTGCCATTGAAGGTGACATGACAGTCCAACTAGGTTAGATTTGCTTACATGACCATCCACCTAAGCAATCCAGCATGACAAAATTATTTTTTCGAAAAAAATATTTTTCCAAATTTTTTTATTAAAATACAAAATCAACACTTATTCCGAAAAAAGTAAAAACTTCCGGAAAACGACATATGTCTCTCTTTATTTTTCTGGAAAATAACCCCCAAATATTTATTTTTCCGGATTTTTTTTACCTTTTTCGGAATAAGTATTGATTTTGCATTTTAATTAAAAAATTCCAAAATAAATAATTTTTCCTCAAATTTTTTACTTTTTCGGAATAAGTATTGATTTTGCATTTTAATTAAAAAATTCCAAAATAAATAATTTTTCCTCAAATTTTTTACTTTTTCGGAATAAGTATTGATTTTGTATTTTAATAAAAATTTCCGAAATAAATAATTTTTCCGGAATTTTTTTACTTTTTTCGGAATAAGTGTTGATTTTGTATTTTAATAAATATTTCTAAAATAAATATTTTTTCCGGAATTTTTTTACTTTTTTCGGAATAAGTGTTGATTTTGTATTTTAATAAAAAAATCTGAAAAAATATTTTTGTCATACTGGATTGCTTAGGTGGATGACCATGTAAGCAAATCTAACCTAGTTGGACGGCCATGTCACCTTCAATGACAAGTCTAACGGTTTAAGGGTCATTTGTGGTCCAAAACATAGACGGCAGAGATATTTTTGATACCAAAAACAAACGGAGGGCATTTTTGGCCTTTTCCCGAAATTACAATGGTATATGTACCCTCAACATCATAAGCCACCAAAGTTATTCTCTTGGGTCATTGAAGGGAAGCTTGGCGTAACAGGTAAAGTTGTTGCCGTGTGATCAAGTCACGGGTTCAAGCCGTAAAAATAACCTCTTGCAGAAATGCAGGGTAAAGCCCTTGTGGTCCGACCCTTCCTCGAACCCCGCGCATTGCGGGAGCTTAGTGCACCAGGTTGCCCTCAGCATGAAAGTAAAGCTATAATCCGCACATAACCTTTCAAGAACCACATACATGAATCTGAGTCTAGTAAAAGCAACTATATGGGTGAATTCTATGATAATAATTTTTCAATGTAACTCGACTCAAATGGCAAAGCTGAAGAAAGACCTATATGCTTAGAAAACACTACACTGAGACAGTAATAATGTAATATCTTATATTGCAATTACTAACACAAAAATAAATCCAATGGAAGAAGTTTACAAGAACTGGCATGACCAAAACTAATTCAAAGAGCCAACTATATAACCCACGAGATCTATTCTTCCTCTATACTCTCTTTCTTTTTGTTTCTTTTGTTGAAAAAAAAATAAATAGAAGTCCACAAGCCAACCACAACGTCGCCCGCACAAGGGACGTGTTTAGTATGAGATATGTTGAGAAGAATACTCTGGCATGACTTTAAGAATTCAAGTGAAAATGGGATCAACAACTTGAATGTCTGAACTAACTCTCAACGGCCGGTCTTGGGACGTTTCAATCCACCACTATTGAAAGGAGAGACACTGCCACTTGGTCCAGGACTCTCTTCCCTGAAATTTGAATTTAGCATGGAAAGTTCGTACAATTGTTGTCTCTTTATATAATCTTGTGATTCGTCCTGTAAATGGTAGCATTGCATAAGAATAAGGCAGCAAGTTTAGACGACATGCAAACTGGTTTATCTTGATTTGTCTTGAAATGAGCCTAATTAGGCAAAAGGATCGCAGCCAAGTTTTGTCTACTGCGTGACAAGTTGTTTTGGTGTCAGATACTTAAACTGGCTCTGCCATCATAGAGCACCTATATAGTCAACTACAGTAATATCTTTGTGTAAATAAAGTAGTCAGCTGTTAGTATTTTGAGAATCGTGTCCTTTTCGTGAGGAGTAATTAATTGCATGTGCAGTTTAATTAATAGCATAAAGTCCTGAACAAATCTCAAAGGAGGGGTAATCGGAGATACATACCACTGGCTTGAGCAACTCCTCTATTATTTCTTGTGCCTGTCTCAATCTAATATCCACGATATTGGCTGGTAAATCCGCCTCGATTAAAATATGGAGTGGTTCATTCAGGTGCTCATATCCTGGTATTCCGCGTAGGTTCTCCTCCTTGAGATTATCAAGCATAAAAATATATTAGAACTCCAATTATCAGCTCGAATAAATGGCCTATTAAAATTTTGAAAGAAACCTTCAAAAGTAAATCTGGTTTACAGGAAGTAAAAGAAACAAGCTGATTTAGACAGAGTGGTAACTTGACAATCAACTGCAGAGTAGTGAGTCTAAGTTGGTCCTCATTGATCTCTATAGATAAAATTATTGATACCAATTTCGGTCCATAACTCAAATCAACTAAGCCTTAATCTGAAACTTGGTTCAACACATTTAACAAAAATACTTAAGAGTATAAGCATTAGACAGAATATTTGAACGCTAACGTTCCTATACTTCCTGTTTTGTACATAACTGATCATTGTAGCAAAGCTCTAATAGGTGCAATACAAATCTATCACATAATCAGTTTCTGTAAAATTGGCTGAAACTCGATCCACACCAATCTTTAGCTTTTCGTAAACTTAACAGTACTTTTAATGCTCATGACAATTTCTTCATTTAGACCTAACTAGTAAGATTTCCACTCCCGAGGCCCCATCGACTCTCTCTCTTAACCTCCTTCATTTCTACGGAGTACCTTTTTTTCGGGTTTACTACTGGAATATCAGAAATAGTCTTCTCTATTGCTCAAGATAACTAATACAGTAGGTGAACTTATAGGAAAAATGATAATTAACAAGTCAATAGATGTATAAATATACAACTTAGGTGATGACCAAAAAACCAGCTATTTATTAAAAAGTAAAAGGGGGAGATCTAATCAAGATTTTGTCGTTCCTTCACTTGTTTTATTTGTTTTAATTAATAGGTACTTTGCCTCCAGCCAATAATCAAAACGGATGGTGAAATATATCATACCTACCTTTTAATGATATTCACTTTAGATTAGTCAGTTCATCTCTTTACTGACCTAGCTTACAAGATCAATATAATCCTTCTTATATGAAGATAACTAAGAGAAAGTAGGCCAGAAAACTGTACAGATATTAATTAAAAAAAGAAGAAAGAACACAGTTTGCTGAAGTTTTGCTGGACAGGCATTAACTTAAAATTATCTCATCTCATTGGGATGATTAGATATATGAGATGCTTTTGTTCTGAACTACTTGTGAAAAGAAAGTTATACTCAACAAAATCATCTTGGATACTTTGCAATTAGTAGAGGTAATAATTGGTAATTTATATACACATGAAACTATGAGCTAGTCAATCAGACAATTCTACAGAGAAAGAATAGAATATTAGTTACCTGATCGGGGTCCTTTATTGACCCTCTTCCTCTAATATATACACGACATCCTGTAGTAGCTTCCACCTGTTTCAAAGAATTTCCCCTCGGACCCAGAAGTCGCCCAACAAAATTGAACTGAAATCCAAACAGAAGTTAGATCAGAGAAGGATTTATTTGCCCCAATTAAAACTATACAGCACTGACAGCCAGTGCGCGAAAACAAGAAATAAGCCCTTACATTTGGATAAGTTTCTAATGGAATTTCTAAGCGCAATATCCTTTTCACAGTGTATGAACTAGGACTTGCTGGTGCCCCATGCCAGTCCATTGACATTCCAGAAGGTCCACTTAATCTCTGCAAAAAATTCAGAAACTGGTATTTAGGATAAAATAAGGAGAATACATAAAAAATAAAAATAAAAGAAACCGGTTAACACACAACACAAAGTGCTTGACACTTTGGAAGCAAAAAGACAAAAAATCCATAGCTATATTCTTGAGCATTAAAAATCAACTATCAAATGAATCACCAGCATGGGCAAAATAAAGATGCACACAGTTTAAAGCTTAACTAGTGTGAGAGACTGAATTTCATTATAGGATGTGCTAACTTGATATAACGGCTCAAAAGTTCTAAAACAATCTGTATCTTCACACATTCACCAATAAGTTTCACATTCTGATCTTCAGGCTGCTATGCTTAAAGAAATGACTCCCGGCAGACACATTTACTCCCTTTTCCTCATAATTAAAAAAAATAAAGAAATGATAAAAATAAAATATTTAGTGGGCCAATTCTGTAGTGTAAGGGTCTATCTATACTCTTTTAGGTTGTCAATATTCTGACATTTAACTTGAACATTGACATCTTAAAGGAGAAACTGATAGCAATACCACCGCTGAAAGAAACATTCTTGTTCCAAAGCTGTACGGATAGACAGCCAAATCAGACATTCATGTCAATCGTGTTACCTAATATTTTTTTGTCGGTGACAAATTGTATGTCCATAATCAATCGTATTCACAACCTTGGCCTCGGTATTACATGGAATGCAAGTCAATAACTTCAGAAACCCCTAATATTCTTGTTTTTAGATCAAACGGATAACCATCTTCTGATGCTACTGGACAAAAATGACATGTGAAGTAATCACAAGAACCAAGAGAAGTCCCAAACCTGATCATTGCAGAATAATATCCTCTCCTTTACGTATATAAAGGTCACAAATAGTTGGAACAATCATCACCTTAACATCTAAACCTTTACTATCCAACTTTTAGGCAAATATTTGGGCAAGCTCATCTCAGGTTTGGGTTGGTTCCAGCTAACCTTTGTTCAGACCTTGATTATGGACTCTTGGACATTAGCATGCAATTGGAAAGGAGGAATGCCAGGATTCATTATTTTGTTCATTCTCCTACTAAGCGAAGAACCCATCTCTGACCTTGGTGGCAAGTTTACCTGGTGACTGTGCTTTAGGATAGCAGTTTGCCTAGTGAATTAGTTGAGGTGTGCATGAGTTGACCCAGAGACCATTGCCATTATAAACAGAAAGAGGTCTACATGAAATATGTAGTGACTGAAATGTTTGGGCTTGGCTCAGCTCACTTGTCGAGCTGCACGAGCCTCCAAATGCCTCAAAGCAAGTGAAGCTTTTTGGGGTAATTACCATGTATCCTTCACCTGCTCCGTGACAACGGCGGTACCTCAGAACAGATTTAACTAGCTAAACATCAAATGACTAATGGAAGAAGAAACGAGCTGTTCAAGTCCTACCGCCACGTCTTTAATGGTATGTATCGAAAGCTAAGAACCTAAGCTCTTTGAAGAATAGGAACTTAGCCATTATCCACTTAATAACAACTTACCTCCAACTTGTACTGTGGAGAAAAATCATAAAATTCCTGCCAGCTACTAAACTTTTTGCTGAATCAATAGATCTAGATTTGTATAGCTCTGATACTACGGCTTTTTTTCTTTTAATTCATCGACTTCCAGTCTTCACACTCCCTTGGTGCTCAAATCAATTCGATAGTGCTTATTCAAGAAACAATGAGATCAAAAAAGTGTCAGAAACTTCTGAAAGTTAAACATGCATAAAAGCTAATGATTCATTTCTGCACGATGTTGTATTCAGATTCATTTAAATTTAGTGACACGAATAGTAAGGATTCATACAACCGACCCAAAACCAACTCATAATTGAGGTGTAGTTATTGTTGTTGTTGTTGTTGTTGTACTCAAATGCAGAAACAAGAAATATGCTTATAACCAGAAGTTCACAAAATATTGCAGCCTGAAACCATTTGACTTTTATTACTTCTCAAAGCTCAGTATACGTCAGTTGCCTCAGTACCTAGTTCCAGTGAAGTAAAAATATACCAACAATTATATCTATTACTTTAAGTAGACCACGTAATTGCATTATTTGTTTACGAAGTCACCACAGGATTAAACCTATATGTAACGCAGAGACAGTAAAGGGACAGTCCTTTTAAGAGAAGAACTCCACCACATGTGGACAACTTGTCAGATATAAGATCAAAAGTCCAATTACCTCCTGCGCAAGTCCGCTCCAACCACCTAATCCAGTTCCAGCAACATTTGACATAACGTTTGCTGAAGTCATAGGGCTTGGACTTCTATGCCGAAATCTGTCTAGCTCGCCAAGAATCTGGTTTGGCGTCATTCCTGATACCCTTAAGATCTCTGAAAATCAGAATTATGTTATGGTAATCAATCACCGAATCAATATTTCAAAAGTAACACAATAACTATGACAAAAAATGGATAAATACCCCGTAAGATCGCTCAAACTCATAATCTACTTATTTTGATCAAGCTTCAAATAAATAGCAGTATAACTGTGATGTGCAAAATTATTTAACAACAGAATGGGCATCATAATCACATCAAAAGCTAGACAATTTAGTACCACAAAATTAAGAGAAATAAACATATTACGCTACCTCTACCTGGAGAATGAAGATTACGATTTGAGTAACACTCACAACTATTGAGTTCTTAATAACTAAAGCGCATATCAACCAAACTAATCCAGATCAAGTACATTAACATGAAGAGCATGCTTTTAAGAATTTGCACCTAAACAAATCTTAAGCTTTCCAAAGTGGCCAGATAACTCTTTCAAGTTTTAAGCAAAGCCAGAATAGAATGTCCACTCTCAAGTAGGTTATTCCACGAAGACTGTTCTATCACCTAAGTTGAAATTTCCTCAGTTTTTCATTAGTAAGCTTTCGGAAAACTAGTAACAGGATAACGAGCTGTCCAAGTTATAAAAACCCCGAGACCAACATTTCAAAGTTGAAGAGCTATTTTTAACAATGCACTAAAAGCAAATTCTGATGAGCTTGAACTCATTCTCCTAAACCTATGAAATGAAATAGGTTGGCCATGTTTTTACAATTTATACAGGTTAGGAAAGATACAACTTGCTGAAGAAAGATAAACTCTTTTTATGTTCTTTAACCTCCTCCAATCAATTGTATAATGTTATACTTCAGAGTCCTGTTCGTTAACCTCAAGTTGCAAGTAAAACTTTTTTTTAAATAACGATGCGCACACCTCGACTAAATCAAGTTGCAAGTGAACCTTCTTCACCAGAAATGAAATGTCTCCTCCAATGCCTCCAGGATTAAATTACTTTCGTTTCATAAATCAAATACATTCCAACAACAGAATCATACATAAACCTACGGTTTACACAGAATCCAAAAGGGGGTAAAATCTAAAAAAGGCAAATTCTTTTATTGGACCACAACCCAATCATATTGGAAAGCTGAGCAAAAACAACAATAAAAAATACAGTGTATTTCCATAAGTGGGGTCTGGGAGGGCGGTGTGTACGCAGACGTTACCCCTAACTTTGAAAAGGTAGAGATATTGTTTCCAATATATCAAAGAAAAGTCGAAACCAATGGTGATCCATGTAGGTAAAAACCAATCAAGTCAGATCTATCACATCATCTATAATACAAGGAATCAAGAAAATATGCAAATGTGATTTTAAAAAAATGGAGTTACCTTGATTCAAGAGAGTGCTACAAATGGGAAGAACTTGCATGAATGGACCAACCTTTTGATGTTCAGCCAACAGTTCTGACAAGTACTGATTACTAACATGTTCCAAAACACACATATGGCAATCACAATCCGCATAGTAAATTCAATCCAAATAACCAAAAAAGAATGTGGAATTCAGCAACATAAGATTAAACAAAGAAATGAAAGGAGCCATATATACCTGTCAACATCTGGATTAGAAGTTCTAATCTGGGGAGATGCAGCTCTAGAAGGTGAGAAGTTGTGATTATTATTATATAAACCTGACATACTTAGCTTTTTTTCAGGCCTAAGTACATAAGTTAAGAGTCAAATGGGTTCCCAGTATATACTATGCAGCTGCAGAAGACAGAGAAAAACAGACAAGTGTTAAAAGGTCTGTGAAATTCCCAGAAAGGCAGACAAAATCTTTTTCTCTTTTTTCTTTTTCTTTTTTTTTTCTCTGTTTTCTAACACTTGGATTGTGAGAAAAATACTTATGTAAGTAGGCGTTTAGTCATAAAAATTTATAATTTTAAAAAAAAAAATAGTGTTTAGAGTTAAGTTGAAAAATAGTATTTAGAATTTAAAATTATGTTTGGAGTTTTGTGAGTGAAAAAAAGAATTATAAATTTTGATTTTGAAAATATTATTTTCAAAAAAAATTTAAAAACTTTTAAAATTTTATGGACAAATATATTTTTAAAAAAGAAAAGTGTCGGGAAAAAAGGGATAGACAAATGGATACTAAATATAAATAAATTGGTGTATAATATAGGTAAATATTATAGTCTAGGAGTTAGACTATTGTCACCTAAGAATCTGCTGTCACCTTCTGTATTCTGTCGTTTTTGGTGTGAATTCAAGAAAATTATTAAAGGAAAATTAAATCACGAAAATTTGAAAAGTAGATTCAATAATTGCGTTCGGTAGGTGCGCACATGAAAGCAAAGATTTTTTTACTGATTTATGATACGAGGTGGAGAAAATCCAGGTAGGATTTGTCTTTTTGTGGGGTTAATATCACAAAAGTAATATAGTAAAATTTTGGGATAATACATACTTTCCCCCGATCTAGTTTTAGTTTTACCAAATCCTATGACCTCCCTGAATATTTTTAAAACGAAATAAATACCCCTTAGCGATGATTTGGCACAAAAAGTGAGCTCATTCTCTAGGAAGTACGTGAGAGGGAAAAAAATAAGTTAAGATTGACTAATGTGTACAACTGTCATTTCTTAATTGGATATAATTAATTATGATTTTTCCTTCCCTTCTTTCCCGATTTTCATTTCTAAAACTCAGCCATGGCACTGCATTTCATTTTTGACTTATAATATTTTATTCTTATCTCCAACACCTCCTAGAAAAATTTCCCAAAAGTACATGGTAGATAAATTTGCGCATGAAAAATTAGTAAGCAAAAACGGAAACCATCACGGGGCCTTGACTAGAAAACAAACAACAACAACAACAATAACAAAAATTCACTATAATCCCACTAGTGAGGCCTGGGAGGGTAATATGTATGTAAATCTTATCCCTGCCCGAGTAGACAGGTTGTTAGGCTCTCTCCCTCCAAGGACTTTCCACTCTACTCTTGGGATGACTCGAAATCACAACCACTTTGCTCTTGGGATGACTCGAAATCATAACCACTTGGTTGGAATTGAAGGGTGCTCACCACTGTAGCAACCCTAGTCACGGGGGCTTGACTAGAAACCTTGCAGAAAATTTAAGTCCTTTTTGGTTCTCCCGATTCAAACTAGAAAATATCTGACAAAGTATTTCGAATGTGGTTTGCCGTCGCTTTAGATAGAAAATTGTACGGATTATTCTAGTTCTAGTTAGAAAAATTCCGACGAGGAGTTCACCGGAAAAAAAGGGAGATCGGACCGTTGTTAAACAATGACAGTTGTTCTTTTGTGGGGTCTTAATCAAAGTACAGTACTGATAGTGAAGACAAGAGAAAAATAAAACCGTAAAATAGAGGGCTTGGATGTAGAACTTGCATTTCCAGACGAGTGCATTTAAGATGAACAAGCGGCGACACTAGTAGCTCCGGCCACTCTTTGGCGAAGTTGAATGGTGAAGGAAGAAAGAAAGAAGAAGAGCGAGAAAGGAAATGAAAAGAAAAATAAATTAAGTGATAAAATCTAGGTGTCAGCGCGTGTATTTCACACATTAACATATATCTGGTTGTGACCTTTCAAGGACGTATTTATTCCATTTCGAAAATGTTCAGGTGGGTCATAGGACCCATGCAAAATTTAAGTGTACATCTGGAAAAAAAAAGACTAGTTCAGGGGGGAAATATGTATTATCCCTAAAATTTTAGTATCAAGTTTGTCCCAGCTGCATGTACAAAAGTATGAGTCTTTTGTAGATTCATTTTCTCCTATTCAAATTTTAAAAAGTTATGGAAGATTATTTTCTTGACCGATCCTTTTTAAATTCATTTAAGCCAAATAAATTTGATTCAAAATTAGTAACATCTTACAAAATCAAGAAAGGAAAAGTATCACTTTAGAAGATTAGGAGAGAATTATCTAAATTATTCTTTGTTCCAATAAATGAGCTATAATGTTTTTTTTTAAAAGTATTTCAACAATTATTATTCATTGTAAGCATGGGCGGACCTACGTTNTATATATATATATATATAGTGAGGACCCCTTAAATACTTTATGTCGCCCCCTAAAATCATAAAATCTGGACAGAGGAGCTGGTTTGTAGAACTGCTTAAAGAACCTTCACTCTCTTGATGACCAGGTTCGAATCTTGGTTCCTACAATGCATATTTTTTTATTTTATGACAACTCTCTGTAACGTTGAATGCTTATTAGCATTAACAAAACTTGGAAGGCATTTTAGTCAATTTAGTTAAAATTTGTGTATCATTTCTTTGTATTGTAGGTTACGGGCCATTAAGTGAATAGAAACTAGGTTGCATTAGCTTAAACAAAGGCCGGCAAATCGAAAAAAGGTCGTAAAACTTCAATGAGGTTGTTTAATGTACGAATCATCTCGTGTTTTGTTGACAGAGCTTTTGCCGATGGTGTGTGTGATTATTTTCCTTCTAATAATCTAAAGCGTACAAGTGATTTTAATTTAAGTTGATATAGAAGACCGAGCTGGTTAAATTGATTGGTTTGGACCAGTACCGCTCAACTAAATTATTGGGCCAACAGACTATTTATACTTTGGGCATACAACTATATGTGTATCTGAGTAAAAGAACAAATAAGAAGATAAGAACAATTTTGTATAGAATATTCTAGATAGTCTGCTGAGTAGGTTAGAATACATTTTTTATTCTTTGTCTCATTTGTATAGAGTCCGTCAGAGACCTTTGTCATTTTATTTAGTCCTTTGTGTATTTAATAGGACACGCACAGTGTAATACGAGACAGAAATACAGAAATCAAAGAGGATTATTCTGAAAAATTCATTGGTCTTCATGGGATCAGAACGGGTGCTCTAAATATCCAGATCTGATTTCTCTATTTTTGAGTCCTCTATTTTCCTTTTCCGGCTCTTCTCTATTTGTTTCTCACTTGCATTGACAAACACTACAGAAACTCCTCTTCTAGCTAGTGGCACCTCAACTGAAAATGGCACTGCTATAGTTTCAAATTTGGTTGATGGAGCTCATCCTTACTTCCTCAACTCATCAGATTCACCTGGAATGAATCGCATCAATGTCAATTTTGATGGAACAAGTTATGAAAATTGGAGGAAGGGTGTATTAATCTCTCTTTCTGCTAAGAACAAACTAGGTTTCATTAATGGAACTTGTCAAAAATCAGTTGAAGACTCACCTTTGTTTGACCAGTGAAAAAGGTGCAAGGACATGGTCATTGCTTGGTTGTTGAACTCCTTGAGCAAAGACATAGCTGAAAGTGTTATTTACTCTCAGACTGCTAAAGAACTTTGGGGTGACTTGGAAGAAAGGTATGGTCAAGCTGATGGTGCAAAGCTTTTCCAACTACATAGGGAAATCAATAATATTTCCCAGGGAACAAATGATGTGGCAGCTTACTTCACTAGACTCAAAAGGATCTGGGATCAAATGAAGGTCCTCAATACCTTCATGACTTGCTGCTATGAAAGCAAATATGGGGCTAAGACTCACAATCACAAGATGAATGAAGACCAAAAGCTTATTCAATTTTTAATGAGAGTAAATTAGAGTTATTCTGGTGTGAGGAAAAACATACTCATGATGAAGCCCCTTCCCACTACTTCCCAAGACTATTCAATCATCTTGCATGAAGAGTCACAAAGAGAGGTACACTCTGAAAATCAAGTGACCACTGTCACTAATAAATCTAGTATTTTTAATGTAAATACACAAAAATGGAACGTGCAGAAAACTAACAATGAAAACAAAGGGGGAAATCAGAACAGTATCAATGAACCAAGGAGAAGTAATATGTTTTGCTCATTCTGTAAGAAACCTAGACATCAAAGGGGAAAATGCTACAAACTTATTGGTTATCCACAGTCTTTAAAGTTCACTAAGCCAAAGAGAAATTATGGGAGTGCCCAAGTTAATGCTGTAGCTATTGAGGAAAGTGAAGGATCAAGAAGTGGAGTTATTTCTGGTGGTGCTTTACCAAGTCTGATGAACTCACAAGGATTTACTAAAGAGCAATGTGAACAACTGATAAACATGATTCAATTTGTCCAGGGTGGAGGTTCTAATGCTTCAGGTTCTGATGCTAATGCTAGTGCCAACTTTGTGGGTAAATGTTATGCTTTTTACACTTTTATATCCTGTTTTACTGCCTTTTCAACATCCAAGTGTTGGATAATAGATTCTGATGCCTCTCAATATATGACTCATGATAAAACTCTCTTAAACAACTTTAAGGAACTTTCTGTACCCATTCAAGTTACACTACCAAATTCTTACAGAGTTAAGGTCACTAGTTTAGGGAGTGTAGCTTTATCACCTGATCTTGAGCTATAAAATATTCTTTATGTTCCCAGTTTCAAGCATAATCTCTTATCTGTTAACCAATTATGTAAGAAATTTAATTGTGATATCCTTTTTACTAAAATTACATATTTTGTACATGCCCCTTCTTTGAAGAGGCAAGTGGTGCTTGGTAAAAATATTGATGGTCTATATGTGCTGGAAGATGTTTCAACTCAGTCTAGGGTATCAAATTCTGAGTCTATGTCAAATTCTGTTTCTGTTCCTGTTAAGTCAATGTTTTCTTTCCCTAAAAGTCATGTTAAGACTTGTAGTGTTGTTAATTCAGAGTCACTTGTTCAATCTTGTAGTCCAGTTTCTGAATTTGTTCAAGCGTCTGTAATTGGATCTTTTCCATCTAATGAAAGTTCAAATATCAACGAAGTTGCAGTTTCTGATTCTATGAGTTCTAACAAACTTTGACATTTAAGATTTGGACATTTGCCTTGTCATGCAATGAAGAATATAAAAATATATATCTTTCATCTTCAGATAAGCAATCTTTTCCATGTGATATTTGCCCAATGGCAAGGCAGTCCAAGTTGCCTTTTCCAACAAGTTCAATTACTACCAAAAAATATTTTGAGCTATTACATATAGATACTTTTGGGCCATACAATATTCCAACTTACAAAAGAGAAAGATATTTCCTCACAATTGTAGATGATTTTTCAAGGGCAACTTGGGCCTATGTGCTATCTACAAAGTCTAATGCTTTTTCCACTCTTAAATTTTTTTTAACTCTTATAGAGAGGCAGTTTTCTGCTAAGGTAAAGATTATTAGATCAGACAATGCGTATGAGTGAGGAACATGTTCAATTACTTCAGATTTATTTACTTCAAAAGGAATAATTCACCATACTTCTTGCATTGCCACCCCACAACAAAATGGGGTAGTTAAAAGAAAGCATAAGCACTTACTAGAGACTTGTAGAGCTCTTTTATTTCAGTCTCATTTGCCTAAGAAAATTTGGGGTGACTGCTTATTAACAGCAACATATTTAATTAATAGACTTCCTTCAAGAATTTTGAACAATAAGTCCCCTTATCAGATTTTATTTGAAAAGGTCCCAGATTATTCCCATTTAAGGCCTTTTGGCTGTTTATATTTTGCTTCAAATTTATCTAGGAATCGTGATAAATTATACCCTAGAGCTATTCTTGGAGTCCTTTTGGGATATCCTTTTGCAAAAAAGGGATATAAGATTTTAAATCTTCAAGCAAATCAAGTGTTTGTATCCAGAGATGTCAAATTTTTTGAATCCATTTTTCCCTTTTCCTATTCCACTCCTATGTCAAAGTTATTCCCAGCTAGTTTCCCTATCTCTAATGAAATCTTACCAATCTTTTCTTCATCTCAGAAATTTGTTTCACCTAATTTAATGACACCAGTTTTGACTTCGTTATCTTCTCCTAATCCTAGAATTTCAGGATCTCTCATTGGTACTTTGTATATACCTAGAGTTGATTCACATCCCGCAGAAGGACTATGCAAATCAACTAGAGAACATAATGCACCTAAGTATTTATCTGATTATATATGTGGTGATGCTTACTCTGTTTTTTCACCAAATCCTCCTCTAACCCATTTTCAATCTTATTACTTTTCTGCTCTTTTACAAACAAATCAACACTTAGTTAATACCATATGTCAAATATTTAAACAAAATTCTTACTGAGAAGCAGCATTTCATCCTAGTTGGCAAACAGCTATGGCAAAGGAACTCGAGGCACTAAAATCTAACAACACTTGGGATGTTATTCCACCACCTTTGGGAAAGAAGGCATTGCCCTGCAAGTGGGTATAAAAAGTTAAAGTCAAATCTTATGAAAGTTTGGAGATATTAAAAGCAATATTAGTGATAAGAGGGGATAAACCAAGGGAGAAAATAGACTATACAGAAACTTTTTCACCGGTGGTGAAAATGACGATTGTCAGGTGTATACTAACTGTTGCAGTTAAGAAGAGATGGAAAATATACCAATTGGACGTCAATAACGTCTTTCTTCACAACGATTTGGACGAAGAGGTGTTCATGAAATTTCCACCGGGAATTGATCCTCCGAGTCCACCACATGAGTGTCATCTTCGTAAATCCCTTTACGGACTCAAACATGCCCCCCGCCAACGGTAAGTTCGTCTTTCCTCCGTATTGGGTTATAGAGGTTTTACTTCATCAGTCAATAATTATTCTTTGTTTTTCAAGTCTTCTAGGACTTTGACGACTATATTGGCAATCTATATCGACGATATTATCCTGACAGGAAATGATCAAGCAGAAATCCGTGAAGTAAAGTCTTTTCTTGACTCTGAATTTAGAATTAAGGACCTAGGAGAGGCAGATTATTTCTTAGGAATGAAAATTTTGCACGAACCTAGAGGTATTATTATCACTCAGAGGAAGTTTGCACTTGACCTTCTTTCTGAATTTGATTCTTTACATTCACGTACAGTATCCACCCCACTTGATCTGAATATCAAGATCACTATAGATTCAGGAGATCTCTTGACGGACCCAATAATTTATAGGAGACTTTTGGGGAAATTAAACTTTCTCACACATGCACGACCTGATCTGTCATTTGTTGTACAAACTTTGAGTCAATATATGCATTCTCCGAGATCTGGCCACTTTCAGGCAGCTTTGCACACACTCCGATATGTTCTGAATGATCCAAGTTTGGATTTTTTCTTCTCTTCTGACCCTTCTTTTCAAATTTTAGGCTTTTGTGACGCAGATTGGGCATCCTATTCGGATACTCGGAAATCCATGAGTGGATTCTTCTTAAGTTTGGGCAATTGTCCTATCTCTTGGAAATTGTAAAATAACAGGTGAGCCCTCTCTCTCTTTGGCGGAAGCTGAATATCGATCTATTCGTCGTCTTGTTGTAGAACTTTCCTTGGTTGTGCGACTTATTTCTGATCTCTCTGTATCTCCTTCCCTTCCGGTTTCCGTCCACTGTGACAATCAAGTGCCAATTCACATAGCAAGAAACCCATTTTTTAACGAAGGAACAAAACATATTGAAATAGATTGTTATTTTGTTCGTAAAAAAATGTTGGATGGCCTTATTTCCCTATCGTTTGTTCCATCTTCTACCCAAATCGCCGACTTCTTCACAAAAGGATTGGCAGGGCCCCTTCATCGGAATTTTTTGGGCAAGTTAGGAGTCCGATCTCCGGGCTCCCACTTGAGGGGGTTGTTGACGAAGCTTTTGCTTGTGGTGTGTTTGATTATTTTCCTTCTGATGATCTAAAGCGTACAAGTGATTTTGATGAAGTTGACATAAAATTCTGAGCTGGTTAAATTAATTGGTTTGGACCAGTACTGCCTCAACTAAATTATTGCCAATAGACTACTTATGCTTTGGGCCTACAACTATATGTGTATATGAGTAACAAGAAGAAATAAGAAGATAAGAGTAATTTTGTATAGAATATTCTAGATAGTCTGCTAAGTAGGATAGAATACAACTTTCATTCTTTGTCTCATTTGTACAGAGTCCGTTAGAGACCTTTGTCATTTTATTTAGCTCTTTGTGTATATAATAGGACACACACAGTGTAATACGAGACATAGATATACAGAAATCAAAGGGGATTCTTCTGAAAAAATTCATTTGTCTTCACGTTTATGCAGGATCTGAAAAAGGACCACACCTCAAAAGAATATGATGTAGGCACCAACTTAATGCAAGTATCAGTGGTTGATTTCACGTTCTGAGATGCTATCCATAAGAGGTAAAATATATGATGTTTAGAGTTGTCCATTTATTAAAGCGAATATATATATATAATAGAAAAAGCGTCCTTCACTGCAAAGAAGTTTGTCACTATATATCTCACCAGCTCATGTATTTGTGACGACTAAAAAGGGGACATTAAAATAAAACAATAAAGGAAAAAGAAGAACATTGCAAAGAGAGAGAGAGAGAGAGAGAGAGAGAGAGAGAGAGAGAGAGTTTTCTATTGATTCTGATATGAATTACTATGGAATAGAACCCTTTTATAGGGAAGAAGTGACTTAGCCACAAAGTAACAAACCCTAAAATTTCTCTAAAATATAGACATTCACCTTAAATATAATTCTATTTATAACACTCCCCCTTGGATGTCTATTCAACAGATAACGTGCCTCGTTAAAATCTTAACTAAAATAAAATCCAATGAAAAATATTTCTAGTGAAGGAAAAAGAGTATACATGTTTAGACATACGTCTTTTGGTTGTCTCGTTAAAAACTTTGCAAGAAAAACCCAGTAGGACAAAACTTTGTAAGAGAAAAAGAGTACAACGTGTATTAACTCCCCATGACGAGAGCATCAATTCACATCCTTGAGCCTTCGCATCCCAATCTTGTACACTAGGTTCTTGAAGGTTGACGTTGGTAGAGATTTGGTGAACAAATCAGCCATATTATCACTTGAGCGAATCTGTTGCACATTGATATCACCACTCTTTTGAAGATCATGTGTGAAAAATAACTTTGGTGAATTGTGCTTTGTCCTATCTCCTTTTATGAATCCTCTATTCAATTGGGCTATGCATGTTGCATTATCTTCATACAAAATCATGAGTAGTTTGGCACACTTCAAACCATATTTGTCTCGAATAAGATGTATTATATACCTCAACCACACACATTCTCGACTTGCTTCATGAATAACAATTATCTCAGTATGATTAGATGAAGTAGTCACGATTGATTGCTTAGTCGATCGCCAAGATATGGCAGTGCCTCCACGTATAAACACATAACCTGTTTGAGATCGAGCTTTGTGTGGGTCAGATAAATACTCAACATCGGCATAACCAACAAGACAGGGACTGCAATTATTGTCATAAAATAAGCCCATATCCGTAGTCCCTTTTAGATACTGCAATATATGTTTGATCTCATTCCAATGTCTCTTTGTAGGAGCATAGCTATATCTAGATAAGACATTAACTGAAAAAGTTATGTCATGCCTTGTAGTATTAACATGATACATTAATACACCAATTATATTAAGATATGGCACTTCAGGACCAAGAAACTGTTCATTCTTTTCTTGAGGTTGGAACATATCCTTATTCACATCAATTGATCGAACAACCATCGGAGTACTTAACAGATGTGCTCCATCTATATAAAACCGTTTCAATATATTTTCTATGTAGGCAGATTGATGAACAAAAATCACATTTGTCAAATGTTCAATTTGCAAATCGAGACATAATTTTATCTTTTCGAGATCTTTCATCTCGAATTCCTTCTTTAAATAATCAATCGCCTTTTGGAGTTATATTGGAGTTCCAATAAGGTTTATGTCATCAACATATACGACAAGTACAATAAATTATGATGTTGTTTTCTTTATAAAAACACATGGACAAATTGCATCATTTATATAACCTTCCTTTAATAAATATTCACTAAGTCGGTTATACCATATTTGTCCTGATTGATTTAGACCATTCAAAGATCTTTACAATTTGATTGAAAACATTTCCCGGGACTTTGAATTATGTGCCTCAGACATTTTAGATCCTTCGAGAATTTTCATGTATATCTCATTATCAAGTGAGTCATAAAGGTAGGCTGTAACCGCATCCATTAAATACATGCCAAGCTTTTCATGGACAACAAAACTAATGAGATAACAAAATGTTATTGCATCCATAACAGGTGAATATGTCTCTTCATAATCGACACCAGGCCTTTGTGAAAATCCTTGCGCAATAAGGCGTGCCTTATATCTTTGTACCTAATTTTTCTCATTCCTCTTATGTACAAAGACCCATTTATAACCAACAGGCTTAACACCATTAGGTGTTTGGACTACGGGTCCAAAAACTTCACGTTTCGCAAGTAAATCCAACTCGTATTAGATTGTTTCTTGACATTTTAGGCGTGCTTTTGACTCATTAGATATGACACTAGAAGATTGTCCAGCATAGACATCAATACGGGTTGGAACATTCTCTGCAGGGATATGTGATTTTGTTATCCTTTTCAAATTTATAAATGCATCTGGCATTTGATTTGCTATTTTCTGCAAATGAATAATCTTTTGTACCTCCTTTTCACAAATAGAGGTACATGGATCAAGATGAGACAATGATGGATTTTTTCACAAAATTTTCCGTTTGATTTTACAAATTTCTCCCCCTAATTTTGGGAAAAGTGTCTTATCGAATCGACAATCTGTAAATCGAGCAGTGAACAAATCCCCCGTTAATATTTCGAGATAGAAAATAATGGAGGGCGATTCAAACCCAACATATATTCGTAACCTTCCTTGGGGACCCATCTTGGTGCGACATGGCTGTACTTCAGGCACATATACTGCACGTCCAAAAATTCTTAAATGAGATATATTAGGTTCATGACCTAACACCAATTGCAACGGGAAATATTTATGATAATTTGTCGGTCTGAGACGAACTAACTTTGCTACATGCAAAATGGCGTGACCCTAAACAGAAGTGGGCAACCTCATTTTTATGAGTAACGGTCTTGCTATCAATTGCAAACGTTTAATCAAAGACTCTGCAAGGCCATTTTGAGTGTCAACATGAGTTACATGATGTTTCATTTTTATCCTAATTGATAAGCAATAATCATTAAGTGCTTGAAATGAAAAGTCGACAGTATTATCAAGTCTAATAGACTTAATTGGATTATCGGAGAATTGTGTCCGTAATCGAATTATTTGTGCCATTAATTTTGCAAACGTGAGGTTGCGTGATAATAATAGGCACACATGAGACCATCTAGAGGATACATCTATTAAGACCATAAAATATCTAAATGACCCACTAGGTGGGTGAATAAGTCCACAAATATCCCCTTGTATACGTTCCAAAAACGCAGGGGACTCAATCCCAACCTTTGTTGGTGATGGTCTAATATTTAACTTGCCTTGATAATAAAAAGTGCAAGAAAATTCATTATTTAAAAGAATCTTTAAATTCTTTAACGGATGCCCGTTTGAGTTTTCTATAATTTATCTCATCATAATTGATCCAGGGTGACCCAATCGATCATGCCAAAGTACAAAAATATTGGAATCCGTAACCTTTTGGTTTACGATAGAATGTGCCTCAATTGCACTCATTCTTGTCCAATACATGCCACAAGACAAAAATTCAATAACCCTTTTCTGGCCAGAGACATTTTTGGTAATAATGAGATATTCAAGATTATTCTCATCTATTGTCTCAATATGATATCCATTTCGGCGGATATCTTCTGGACTTGGAGGAGAATATTGCATTATCTATGATAAGCATTTTTCCCTTAGGCAGAGTTATAGTAGCTCTTACAGAGCCTTCAATTAAATTACCACTACCATAAATTATAGTAACATCTGCCTTACACATATTTAAATGAACGAAATATTTCTTCTCTTTGAATATTGTATGTGTCGTACATGAATCAATTAAACAAATAGAACTTTGACCCAAGTTTGCTTTGAGAAATATCCATATTTTCTTCCCATAATTTGACATATAAAAAGAAATATGCAAATAAACATTAGTATTTTCAGAGAAAAGAAATAAAGTTATATCAATGGTTCAATGATGACCTTTTAATGGAATTTCGAGCAAACTCTGCTTATGATATAAATAATTACGTAGCTAAAAATAATACAATTATAAGTACAACACATATGACTAATACAACATCAAAGATGACACAATAAATATTATTAGTGTCTAGAAAAAAAAATAAAGTAAAAATCAATGATACAATAGACTTATTTTCTAATAAAATTTTAAAAGGTATCGTAAAAACGAATAAGACTGAACAATTTAATTATAAATTGATGCTGCTACGTTCCCAGTAACAAAAACGTTTCAACTTGTTTCCTTTTGAACATATGCAATAGTGGTAAATATACGTAGCCATTAGTAGTATAATTGCTGCCTTTATAAGTTTATAGATCACACGTATTTTGTTCAAGACTAAAGAACATTAAGCTCATTTCTTTGGTGTTGATGTTCGTCATTTTACTAGCCTCATTTGTCTGAATAGTACTTAAGCAATTATCATTTTGTTATTTTGCTAGTCAGCAGAAACGCTAAGTAAACCAAATCGATAACAAACAATGATTAATGAAAATAAAATCAGACAGAACGAAAGTTTTATTAAATAAACGATTATAGCTAAACTAATTAATACTAATTGAAAAACTGGTACTCAGGTAAAGACTACGATTATATGATCTTTATTCACTAACTACTACGAATAGGCAAAAATAAAAATCAAACTACTCAATCATCTTTAATCACGGATCGATCCATCACCGATCAAGTGGTCTATTTTTTCATCAAGGTGCTTAAAGAAATCTGCCACATCCAAGTGGGTGATTTCAAATTCATTGTCAGAGACAAAATTAGCTTCAGGGCCTTTATTCTTTAGAGATGCTTGATAAAGCTCAACCAAATGTCTTGGTGTACGATAAATATTTGCCCAACGCCCTTTCCCACCGCAACGATATCATTCATTTTCTGAACCCGTTGCCTTTGGCTTCTCATATTTCCCTTTCCACTTTTGGTGGTTATTTTTCTTTGGGGATGATTAACACCGGAAAATTTTCTTCCTTGGCTACGGCCATGGCCACGAACAAGGCTACGACCTTTTCCACACTTAGCATAATGGGAATACACCTCATCCACTTCAGGCAGTGGTGTAGACCCAGTAGGTCAATTATCATGATTTCTCATGAGCAAATCATTTTCGTTCATCCACAAGGAGAAGAGAAATCAACTTAGAGTAATTCTTGAAAACTTTCTCTCGGTATTGCTATTGCAGGACCATATTGGAGGCATGAAACATTGTGAACATTTTTTCAAGTATATCATAGTCAATGATACTATCTCCACAGAATTTCAATTTAGAAGTAATTCTGAACATTGCATAATTGTATTCAGAAACAGACTTAAAGTCTTGGAGCCTCGGATGAGCCCAATCATATCATGCTTGTGGAAGTGTGACCGACTTTAAGTTGTCATTTCTTTTATCTTTAATAGCATCTCCAAGACCCATTGCATCTAAATGGATTTCAGCATCCAACACCCACGACATATAGTTCTTACCCGAAATTTCAAGGGAAACAAACTTTCTTTTCATAACATCAGTCATAATTAAAAGAGGAGAAAAATTATACCTTAGTATTCTCAAAGAGCTTTTTGATACGGTAGAGTCTCGTGTTGATAACGTGAAATAAAACAATAAAGGAAAAGAAGAATATTGCAAAGAAAGATGGAGAGAGAATTCTTTTGATTCTGATATGAATTATAATGGAATAGAACCCTTTTATATGGAAAAAATGACTTAGCCATAAAGTTACAAACCCTGAATCTCTAAAATATTGACATTCACCTTAAATATAATTCTATTTATAAGAGATATTACTTTGTCACAAAAATGCATTAAAAGTGGTAAGACCTAATATCAGCCAATATGTTTAACAGTGCAACATAACGGTCCCATATATGGAATCAACTTTATCCAAAATTCCAAATTCTAGCAAGAGATACTCTTCATTTGTTACTCGAGTATAACAAGTTACGTCACGTATTACCGTATTAGCGTTGGATACAACCTAAAATTTCTCGACAATAGCAGAGTTTATGAGTTTGAGTCTCACTTTTGCTGATCATCAAAGAATTTTTACGTACTTAACATGTAAACAGCGTGCTACAAACACATTTTGAGATATAAATTTTATATATTGAACAATTTAAACTTTTAAACAAGTGAACGGTGATTATAGCATTTTAATAGCATGTTTGGCCAAGCTTCTAAAATAAGTTTATTTTGAAAAGTGTTTTTCAAAAAAATACTTTTGGTGAGAAATAATTTGTGTTTGGCTAATTAATTTAAAAAGCACTTTTGATCACAAATTAGTATTTGATCACGCTTTTAAAAATTGCTTCTAAGTGTATTTTTCTGAAAAATAATTTTCAAAAAATATTTTTGAGAAGAAACTACTTTTTTATGCTTCTGCTTCTACTAAAAGCACTTTTTTCCTTCTAAAAAATTGGCTTAAACACCTTAACTTTTTTTAAAACGGAAAAGGGCCTAAAGTACCCCTGAAGTATTGAATTTGGTACAATAAAGCCCTCCTTCCACCTTTTTGAATAAAAAAGTATTTACCGTTTATTTTCTGGATCAACTATGCCCTTATTTCTAACGGCCTTCTATTAAATAATAAAAAAATAATTTTAATCCACGTGTTATATTTCCATTGGCCCAACTTAAAATCCAGCTCTAATCTCCTGCCCCATCCGTAACCCGCCCCATTATTGACCCGCCCGCCCCCACGAATTCATTAAACCCAAACTAAACAAATCTTTAAAGACTCATCAGCGTCTTCTTCTTCCTCTTTTCATTAGGGTTCTTCAAATTCTCCATCTCCCATCTCCTACCTCCCAAGTTTGTTTCTTCTTTTTGAATTTACATTCATAACTATTCTTCCTGTTGATTAAAATGTCTGAATCTTCTTCTGCTTCTTCTCTTGACCAAGGTGATTCCCGTATATGTTATTGCGGATTAATTGTCAACCATTTTACTGCTACGACATGATCGTAGATTCTACAAATGTTGTCGTTCTGAGAAGAACGGTTGTCGTTATTGGGAATGGCGCGATGAACAATTTCCAACTCATGTGTCAATGTTTATCCATAATAAAAAAAAATTCATTAGATGCCCTTCGTCAAGAAAGGAACAAGTTGAAGCAGACTGTGGCTGATATGTTTCGTAGCAAAGCTGCAGATTTGAACAAAGTATCTGCCTTGAATGAGAAAGATTCCAATTTAGAATTAAAAGTTAATCAATTGAGAAGAGTACTGTTATGATCATGGGCTGCTTTTATGTTTTTTGCCGCGGTGAAGATGATGGATTGAGAAGTATTTGAAGATTCTGTGTCTTTCTACTTTACTTTATGTCAAATAGTTGTTGTTGCGTTGGTTATTAACGTTGGTTAATAGGTAATTTGCAGATTAGTGTTTCTAGGTAGTTTGCAGATTAGTGCTAACATTGTTTAATGTAATATGCAATTTTTATGTAATGTACTCCATAATAGTTGGAGTTTTAACTGTTAGTGTTGAAGTGGTTAATGTAATATCTAGTTTTTATGTAACATGTAGTGTTGGTTAATTATTTGTTAATTTATGGTCCTGCAGTTTTTATGTAACATGAAGTGTTTTGTTAACTGTTAGTGTTGAAGGTAATACAATAGTCCCTCTATCATAAAACTGTTTGGACTAACGGGTCGTTTTGTTGCTCAAAATGAGATACGACAAAGATATGAATAGCACTGTAATTGTTCACCACTTCATTCAAACAAATCTGTTCATACTCTTGAATACCAAACCATAAACACCAAACCATAACTGAATGCCTGCACTACTTCTTGAATCATAAACATAACTAAAACTGCTCTGTCATAAATACCACCAAAAGATAACTAAATACCAAACTATAAATATAACTAAACTGTCAACATAGTGTTTCACCCTACATTAAGCACAACAAAAGATTTTTTCGAGTGAATCAATACAGCAATTTCCCCAACTGATTCACCAAAAAAAAAAAGCAAAATACTAGTACTTGAATCAGTCATTACAAAAAAAAACAGTCAGTCATTCTAATCTTCCCTAACACTTAGCCTTCTTAGCCTTCAGTTTACCAACTCTGTTTTCCTTTTCTGCTACCAACTGGTTAGAGGTCATTGCTGCTTTGCCTTTCCAAGTAACTTTCTTTGAGGAATATGGCAAGTTAGTAGGTATATTCCCACCAGTCTCATCTCCTTTGAAGTTGATCTTTCTAATTCCAGATGGTTTTTGCAACAACTTCTTTTGTTGAAGCCTAGTCTTAGCTTCAGATATCACTTTAGGCCTCAGAATTGGCTCTTCATCATCTTCATCTCCATTTTCATATTCACTTTCATCATCAGCAATATCTGAACATAGAGCAAACTGTTGAAGTATGCCTTGATATGCAACAGACTGTTGAAGTGTTCCTTGGGATACATCAAACTGTTGATAGCAGACTTTAGGTGCAATAGACTTTTTTGTCTGCTTGTTTTTTGGTAAAACAGAGGATGATGCTTGAGTTGCTTCATGGACTGGACTAGTAAACACCCTCAGTCCAGGAGTAGGCATAAATGCATACTCTGAATTTTGACTGTCCTGAGGTGCTGTCTGAGGCACATCTTGCACATCTTGAGAACATCCCCCAACCTACAATAGCATCAAGAAGACTGTTAGGATAGGGAGAATATAGCAGTGAAAAGATTGTTAAGACAGTTAAGAAGAATATTATACTTACCAAAGGATATTTTTTGATGTTGTGACCTCTATTGCCACAGTGCCCACATGTCATCACAAGCCCCTTTCTTGAAGCTGACCAAACTCCTTCTCTCTTTCTTGCCTCATCTTTTTCTCTCTTTCTCTTTACTTTTGGCCTACCAACCATTCTATGTACTTTTTGTGGATCCATTGCATGTGTTGGCTCAAATTTCTAGAATTTATCACCTCTTACTGGTTGTAGTTTATGCATGTACACCAACATGTAGGCTTTCTTTGAATACCACCAATGCACTTCACTCAATGGATCTTCTTTGTTATTATCTAAAGCTTTGATGGCATGAGGACATGGTATTCCTGACAAGTCCCATGTCCTACATGTACACTTCTTAAGTAGAAGATTGACTGTATGCCTGTGTGCACCTTCAACAACTTCATATCCATTATCTCCATTAAAAACAACTTCACACCCTTGTGCATTCTGTGTGAAATCATTCAGCAACTCCATGGCATAAGGACTAAATTCTCCTCTCCAAATTCTACGTTCCTCTTCACGATCTTTCAACATAGTCATGACCTTCCAAACAAGAAAAAATCATAGTCAAACAGTGGTGCCACATTAGAAAAAAAGGGAATGATTCTGCTTTAGAAACAATGAAGTAAAAGGCTCTTAGAAATTTACCTTCACTCTAATATCTTCTAACATCTTGATAATAGGCTTTTGTCTAGCCTCAAGAATCTATTTGTTGAATGATTCTATAAAGTTATTATCAACCATGTAGTTCTTGCATGTGGTATCAAAGTAAGACCTACACCAGTTTTGGGGTGGGTACCATATGAGATCTTTAGCAGCATTTTCATTAATATCACCCATTGTATTCAAATGATCTTTGAATTCTTCTTCATAAGTGCTCCAAGCACACCACCATAGTAATTTTTTCTTCTCTAAACCCCTCCAATTCTTGCTCCAATTATCTTTAAGATGCCTAACACACCATCTATGATGTGATTTAGGTACCACAGTAGACACAGCATCCAGCAAACCCTGCAATATTAAAGAAAGTTTATTAATACATAATGTAAACCTAACATTGGAAATGAATAATAAAAATTAGAAGTACCTTCTGTATATCTGACATAAATGTCACTCCTTCACCATCTCCCAGCTCTAATGAAGATCTCAATAGCTCCATAAACCACTTTATGTTCTAGATGTTTCTCTATCCACCACTGCCCAAGCAAGTGGGTAAAAGTGTTTCACTGAATCTTGAGCCATAGCAACCATTAGAATTCCCCTGCACTTCTCTTTCAAAAATGTGCCATCCAGACCTATTAAGGGTCTCAAACCAGCTTTTTAGCCACTCTTCAAAGCTTGGAAGCACACATACATTCTAAGAAATCTTCTTTTTCCTTCTGCCAAAGCATCTTTAGAGATATTTATAATCACATCAGAGCATGGGTTATTGTCCCTCAATTCTTGAGCATAGGCCTCTAGCCTATTGTAATCATCAATGTAGCTACCCTCTAATTTCTTTAAGACAAGTCTTTTAACCCTCTTCATCTTTGAATAACTAATATTACAGCTAAATCTGTAACGACCCGGCCGGTCGTTTCGAGAGTTATAGCCCCGTTTTCCTCATTTCTACTTTTTTTGTATTATTCGGCTATATTATATTGTATCAGGTTAGTTGGTTTGGGTCCGGAAGGAACTCGGAGTGAAAAGAGACACTTAGTCTCATAATTAAAAAATATTAAGTTAGAAAAGTGGACCGGATATGGACCTATGTGCAAACGACCTCAGATTCGAATTCTGATAATTCCAATAGCTCTGTATGGTGATTTTGGGCTTAGAAACATGTCCGGAATATTATTTGAAGATCCGTGGTAGAATTAGGCTTGAATTGGCAAAATTGAAAATTTGGCGATTTCGATCGGTAGTGAAAAATTTGATATCGGGGTCGGAATGGAATTCCGAAAGTTGGAATAGGTTCATAGTGTCATTTGTGATGTGTGTGCAAAATTTGAGATCATTCGGACGTGGTTTGGTTAGTTTCGGCATCGGTTGCCGAATTTGAAAATTAGAAGTTCTTAGGCTTGAATCCGAGGGTAATTTAGTGTTTGGATGTTGTTTTGAGTGATTCGAAGGTTCGACTAGGTTTGTATACTGATATATGACTTTTTGATATTTTTGGTTGAGGTCCCGAGGGCCTCGGGGTGATTCCGGATGGTTAACGGATTTGTCGAAATTGGACTTTGCAGGTGGAACTGATGTTTCTGCTATTTCCGCACCTGCGGAAGAAAGGGTCGCAGGTGCGAGGCCGATGGTGCGCGTGGGGAGTGCGCAAGTGCGGGAGATGCTAGGCCAAGGCTGGGAATGCAGGTACGAAGAATTGGCCGCATCTGCGAGCTCGCAGGTGCGAGGCCTTGAGCGCAGATGCAGAGATGAGAAGTTTGGACTGGTTTCGCAGATGCGCACCTGGGACCGCAGATGCGAGTCTGCAGGTGCGAGGAAGGGGTCCGCAGGTGCGGAATCTGGGTGATTAAGTGAGTTGCGCAGGTGCGGCTTCTTGGACCGCATGTGCGGTCGCGCGGGTGCGAGAAAATGGCCGCAAGTGCGAAAAACCTGGGCAGAAGCCATAAATAGAACCCTTCGCGAATTTTGGTCATTCTTCACAATTTCAACTCGATTTTTGGAGCTTTTGGGAGAGATTTGAAGAGGGAATCAAGGGGATTTCGTTGAGGTAAGTTACTTGAGCCATAATATTTGTATATATAGCGATTTTCTGTAGTTTTAATCATGGTAATTAGTGAAAATGAGGGGTTAGGGCTTGAAATATTTGGAGAGTAATTTAAGGATTTGAAGGACCAAACGATGTCGGATTTTTATGAATTTGGTATGGTTAGACTCGTGAGTGAACGAGCTTTATAGTTTTGTAAATTTTGTCGGATTTTGAGACGTGGGCCCGGGGGCCGGATTTGAGCCAATTTCGGGCTTTGGTCTAATTTTGTAGTTTTCTTGTGGAATTCATTCTATTAGCGCGTATTGATGGTATTGTACTGATTGTGAATAGGTTCGGAGCGTTTGGAGGCCGAGTCCAGAGGCAAGATCATTGCGGGTTAGAGATTTGACCGGTTTGAGGTAAGTAATGATTATAAATCTGGTCCTGAGGGTATGAAATCCCGGATTTTGTATCATTCTACTATTTTTAGTGACGCACATGCTAGGTGACGGGCGTGTGGGCGTGCACTGTTAGAGAATTGTGACTTGGTTCGTCCCGTAGCAACTGTAAAGTTGCATACTTTGTTGAAACCATTTGATACTTATATGTTTTAGAAAGAATTTCTGTAAATTGGGCTGAATGCCTTGTTTGGGCCTTGCGCCAATGCTGTTTGGACCCTTAGGGGTTGTTTATTACCATCCTCATTATTTTCGATTGAAAATCTATACTCAATCATGTTTGTACTTGTTTACCGCATAACTCGGTTTTTATGACTCTATTTTGATGCATATAAATATTTTGGGCCGAATGCCCTGTTTTACTGAAATGCCCGAGTGGCTTGAGAAGTTTATGACTGAGTGAGGCTGAGGGCCTGATTTGTGAGGATGAGTGTGGATCGGGGCTGCCCGCATGCAATATATTTATGACTGAGTGAGGCCGAGGGCCTGATTTGTGAGGATGAGTGTGGATCGGGGCTGCCCGCCTGCAGCATAATTTATTCTTATAGCACGTGAGTTATCTGTGCAGATTATAGCGCTTTGGATAAAGGAGCCCCTCCGGAGTCTGTACACACCCCCAGTGAGCGTAGGTACCTACCGAGTGTCGAGTGCCGAGTGCCAAGTGCTAAGTGCTGAGTGACTGGGAGGCATGAGTGATTGAGATATATGCCCGAGTGGCAAGAGTGATTATGAGGTATGCCCGAGTGGCACGAGTTACTGTGAGGTTTGCCCGAGGGGCTGTATATGAGTGATGTTTTGCCCGAGGGGCTGTTTATGATTTCACCATTTTTGCTCACCTTTGCATTGAGCCTTTGTTTGAAAAATTGTTGGAAAAATGTCTTTAAATTATTTTTACTAGAACTGGGTTTACACGAGATGTTTGATTCAAATCCTGATTTTTAAAAATATATGGTATTTTACTGAGATTTCCTGATATGAACGTTATTTGCTTTATTGCTCGTCACTACTGCTTAGTCTTTATTTATTGTTGTTACTTACTGAGTTGGCGTACTCACGTTACTCCCTGCACTTTGTGTGCAGATTCAGGTGTAGCTAGACACGGTAGCGGTTATTGAGTATTCTGGTTGTAGATTTTCTTGGAGATAGCAAGGTAGTTGTTTGGCGATCGCAGCCCCTGCTCTTCTCCCTCTTATCTTCCTCTAGTTGTATTTAGCTATTTTCCAGGCTGAGTTGGCCTTGATATTGTTAGACAGATTGTATCAGATTCTCATGACTAGTGACACCCCGATATCGGGCTTTTCTTTTCCGCACTTCAGTTATTTTCTTTGATTTGAACTCTTTTAATGGAGGTTTTATGTTAAATAACCTTGAAATTATCTTTAAAATAAAAATATTAGTTTGTTTTCTAAATGAGTCGGCTTGCCTAGTTTCACGATAGGCGCCATCACGACAGGGGTTAGTTTTGGGTCATGACAGATTGGTATGAGAGCCTAAGTTACATAGGTCTCACGAGTCATGAGCGGGTTTAGTAGTGTCTTGCGGATCGGTACGGAGACTTATGTACTTATCTTCGAGAGGCTGTGGAACCTTTAGGAAACTTCACATTCTTGAATTCTTGTCATGCGAATATGTTGATTCTAGTAACTAAACATCTGATGTTTCATTCTCTTACAGATGGTGAGGACTCATACTACCGGTCAGGAGGGCCAGCCACCAGTACCACCAGCCAGGGCCGCGAGAGGCCGAGGCCGTGGTAGGGGCAGAGGTGCAGCCCGTACAACAGTTGGAGCAGTACCTGCTGATCTACCGGTTGTCCCAGATCAGAACCAAGTTTCAGTTATTGATGCACCAGCTCAG